AATTAAGAAAAGAGAAGACTGAGAGGGGATTTAATAGTAGCCTTCAACTACCTGAATGGCTTTCAAAAGAGGATGGAGCTAAACTGTTCTCAGTGGTGGCAGATGACAGGATAAGGAGCAATGGTCTCAAGTTGCAGCAAAGGAAGTTTAGGTTAGATACTAGGAAGAATTTACTCACTAGGAGGGTAGTAAAACACTGGAACAGGTTACCCAGAGAAGTGGTGGAAGCTCCATTCTTGGAGATTTTGAAGACCCGGCTAGACAAAATTTTGGCTGAGATGATCTAGTTGGGCATAGTTCTGCTTTGAGCAGATGGTTGGACTAGATGACCTCCTGAGGTCCCTTCCAACCCTATTTTTCTATGATTCTATGTTTCTATGATTCTATAAATAATTTGGCTAATTTTACGTGGATTATTAAAAGTACTGAGATAGATACAGCATGTTATGAATAGCATTTTTAGTTTAAATATTTCAACTAATAATGCTGGTCACTTGACTTTCTAGTTCCTCATGCTTTACTCATTTGCACTGACTTCCAGTCTCTCAAAAATGAGGCAATAGGAAAGGATTTGCTTATGCAATCAAACATTAATACAAAGGAGTGTCTTGGCTGTTTCCAACATCATACCCCTGTTCACCTCCTCAAAGAATAAACTGAAGTATTATCACTGTGAAGTCTGGGAGCCTGACAGGAACATTCACTGGCTGAATAGGTTTTCCCTGAGTGTGCACTATGGAGCTCAGAGATGTTTCTAATGGAATTTTCTTAAGTTCAAGTTAATATGAACAAATATCTCTGGGATGATGGCCTGAAGCATTAAGCATAAGCAAAATAAAAATAATAAAAGAACTCAGTTCTTGGCCATGAACAGAGTTAATCACAATCTTTCTGTATTTCTGATATTTGTATGGCCTGGCTGATTCTATGAGTAAGTCTGATGAAATATATTGATAGAAAGAGTTTTCTGCCTTTATGGGAATTTAACAGTATATTATTTCTACTACTGCTTTTGCTGTTCTGATATTGATTCTTTGCTTTTTTTCTATTTATAGTTCAAAAGATGTACCATTTAAAAAAAAATTGAAGAAAGTTCTCAGACTCTCTTCCCCATGGGTTACTTTATGCCAGTGAATTACAGAAACCCTTCAGGATGCCTTTTCTTTAAAAATAAGTATTACATTGCAGAGACTCCAGTGTACATTCTGAATTAGTGCAACTCCTTACAATCCACTCAAAATGATGATATAACAAAGATCAGATAAGATGATTGGTTCCTTTCTTATGAATCTAAAGTTCAAAATTAAATACTGCCAAACTTAGCCCTAAGGCAGAATACTATTAATATGTGCAAACACAAGACAATGCTTACATGTCATCTCTGCACTTTCATTTTGTAATGAGACTTGTGATATTTGTTTCTTGTTTTAAAACTTTCCCATAGTTGCCCTAAGGCTGAGACTAATAATTCTTTTAATAAAGGATGCACTTTGGTAATATGAGCCCAGAACAGAAATTTAGGCTTGAAAAGAGATATTGCCTGTTATTTCTTTCAACTAGATTTGCCATGATCTTATTTAAACAGCTGCAAAACCAGTTCAGTTGACTTAGTTAACTGTTTCCTTAATGGATGATGTAGACCACCACTGGTAGAAAACTTACTCCAGTGAAACTGGTTTAGAAAAAGAAGATTACAGACTGCACAAGATATATGCTAACTTTATGGGATCTTAACTGGAAGTTACAACTGGTAATTCTACATAGAATTCTTTTTAGGAAAACAATGATGCCTACCATTGCTGTCTTTTTGAAAGAGGAATCATGAAGCAGAGCTGATATAAATGGTTATGTACACTAAAGGAACTGAATTTTCAATATTTCAAGTTTCCTGCAAGATTTCTCTCTCTGTCTCTGAATGTACTGAGACTTGCATTGGAAGGGGACAGAGAACTTGGTCATATGACACTTTTATACTAGTGTAATTTCCATCAGGTTTGTATGCTGATGTAAATTACACTGGGATCCAGAGCAGGCAGATGTACAGTTATCTCAGGACAGCTGCATGCAATAAATGGCTGCTGCAACATCTTGCCATTTTTCTTTGTGTAAACAGCTATCCTAGGATTAGATCCTGTAATATGTCACATTCATTGGTGCAGTTCACAACAGTGTAGTTTTGCCCTGCTTTTTCCCAGGGCTAATTCTATGCCAGACTTGAGCAAGTTACACCTGTGTCATGCTGCATATTGCGTGTCTTCTTTTTTTGTTATACCACTATAAAGGCATGCCACATATCCAGGTCTTTGGACTTAATTCAATGAAACAGGATTTAGCAGGGCCTTAGAGTAAGGGACCAGGGTATGGAAAGGTAATATACTTTAGCACCCACTTCAACATCTAGGTTTCCCAAAGGTAAATAGTAATAGAATGACAGTGGGTAGTTTCAAATTACTTTTTCTTCCTAATTGGCAATTAGGTCTAATTAACTTTTAGTTAATATTCAATGATTTCCTTTAACAAATGGAACCCTGATGAGATCACATCTGTTAAGACCACTTGGTTTTCATCTTCATTTTCCACACATTTCTATAGCTCTATAATGAACGCAGCTTCAGAATGAAAGAAGATCATGTATCAGCTGGAATGAAAGTGTTCATGTATCTAAAGTTACTATGAGTCCAGAAAACTGAACAGTGGTATGAAAAATAACATTGGTATGTATTCTCCTGGGTTCTGGACACAAAATCTGTAGAGGTCAGGCTGGAAGTTAGCAAAAACAAGGGTTTCTTTGGCCTTAGCTGGATTCACTTCATGAAATAATTTATCATTTTATTTTGTTCCTCAAATGGAAAGGGTATGATTTCAAGGGCAGAGCCTTGGCTGGTGTAATACCATTGTGCTTTAATGGAATCAGTGAAGGTAGCTGATATGTACATTTTGAGGATCATGCCCTATAGTAGAAATTGCTAAAGGTCTTGGACCTGAAAGCTAAAGGTATTTTAAGTACCTGCTGGATTGGACACAGCAGATTGCCTTTGTCTTTTATTGACAGGACATGAGCATGTGAATAAGTGTATTTAAAGTCTTCCTTACCTAAACTTTCAAACCTTTAAGAAACAATCCAGCTGAGCTGCTTGCATGAATAGAATTTGCATAAGCAAAGGTTGCACAGTTAGGTCACTGGGCATATTTTGGTCCTCTTAGCTTTCCATGCATTGTCCCTTATTTAGTAATACTATTGATTTAATTCGAACATCTATTTCTGTTTTCTTTCTTTTTTTGTTTCTTACATTGCAGCTGCATTGTGTTGGCTAAGATTTTTCATCTTTTTTATTTTCTATATGACTTTTTAGAGTGTGTTTTTTCAGCCTCTCAGTAAAACACCTCAGAGACTGACTCATTTTTAAACATGCTGATTAGGATAAGTTTTCAAACCTCTTTCTGTACCAGTTCAGTATTAAATAAACTGAAGCTATTATTCATCATATGTGGATTAAGTGAAACTATGGCCTGCAGAGGAATACCTCTGTGTTTGAGGAGATGTTATAAAGTTCAAACCACAAAACGAAGTTCTAGTTATGACTAATTTTTTATTTGAACATCAGAGTCCATTTTCCTCACAGGAAACAAGTATTCAAAACTTTGAGTAAAGGGAAATAAAGAGAAAACCCCCATTGCCTACTATTTTAATATTAACAGTGGTGTTAAAGTTCAACTAACAAAGAAAATTTCAAAAGAAATAAAACTACATAAAATAGTGGAATGGAAATGTCAGGTGCCATTGCTCTTTATGTACATAATAAACATCATGAAAGTTCCTTTTGGCTTGAAAAATGGAGCCTCTTGGATTCAAACCTTTGCCCAGAGAGGCATAACTAACAGTATTTGAGCCCTGGGCAAAACCCCACTGGACTATGGTTGGGAGATGGTAAGGGTGCGGGGGCACATAGATGACGGCCTTACCTGCCCTGAGAATCTCATAGTTTCATGGTTGGTAGGGTAGGAAGGGACCTGAGCAGATCATCAAGTCCAACCCCCTGCCATGGGGTCAGATGTGTCAGCAACTCAGCTGATGCTGACACATTTCTTTCTGCTTGCCCCTAGCTACTACTGTTACAGTGGCATGGTATTGCCATACCTAGTTGCTGCTACCATGGCAAAGACTCCCAAGGTGTGGGGGTGATGGTGGGGCTGCCATTTCAACAAATCCTTTAAGTTGACACCCAGGGCTGGTGCCCTGCTCATCCACCCCTAGTTACTGTCCGTGCCACTGAAGTTTTTTCCCCAGAATTAAAAAACAGGTGCTATATTCTACAGTTTTCTACTTGCTGAGTTGTTGTTAAATTCTTAGCATAATATGAGGGGGCTACTACAGGTACTTTGTTTCAGATAAATCATAAAGCCAAGGTCCTAATAGCTTATGATCATACAGAATATGATGTGAATTTAGATGAAAGTATGATTGTTAATTAGCCATACTGCTTTCCTAAATTCCAATTTTATTAATGATATCTGCTTACTGTAACTATAAATGTTTAATGTTTAGATAGTGCCTTGGAAAATTTTCAAAGCATTGAGCCAACCGTAACAAATTATGTATCATAATACCTTGGCTAATTAGGTAACTATGTAATTTCCCCACTAATTGCAGTTTGGTAAGTTATTTTTCACTTCCTGTCACTTCCTGTAAATTGTTGTGCAGTGTTGCTTTAGACCACCAGATGATTGCAGTTCATCCCAGAAATAACTGAAAAATTTACACAGAGAAAACCATGAAGTAACTTATGAATCTGAGTTGCTTGGGAATTTTGCATTAAAGTGATGTTTCATTGAAAAATGCTTATTTGCTTAAGCTATTTAAGGGAAAGTGTCAGTTTTCATGCATCTCCTGAATTGTGGGGGAAAAAATAATGCTTTAAATTGTTGAAATGCTCTTTTTTTATGTATTTTTTCTTTTTCAGTTTGAAAGGGATTTTTTACATTTATTCTAAGCAAAGGAGAACTACATTTTAAAAGATTAATGTCAAAACAAACCATTTAAAAACTATCAAATAAAATATTTAATTGATAAGGTTAATTTTTTTTCTCTTTCTTTAGGTTATTGGTTCACAAAAAATTCAAAATTTTTATTCATGGGTTCAATGTAGGATGGAAAAAAATTTCAAAATTGGAAAAGTTTTGTGAAACATGCAACCTATTAGGGGTGTATGAAGTGGGCCCTATTCGATTCAGATTCGGCCCAAATCGGGGACAGTGATTCAATTCATTGATTCAGATCACTGTCCCTGATTCGATTTGGCCAAATCCAAATTTGAAGATTCCATGCTGATTCAGAGAATCAGCAATTTGATCATAGACACAGTTCTAAATGTTTTTTCTACATACCTCGAGGTACCAGTGTGGCTTGTGAATGCTGTGATGCTGGGATGTACAGAACATCCCACAGGAGTGCAGGGGTGGGACCCGTCATGTGCTCAATGGTGAACCCAAAAGTGAACCAGAAGTACCGAGAAGTATTTCCGGCCCACTTCTGGGTCCACCAGGGAGTGCATGGGGAGGGCCCTGTGCCCCCCAGCTCAGCAATCTGTGGGGGACCCTGAGTGCCCCCTGCAAACCCAAGAGGCACCAGTCACCAAGCCGAGGGCATGGGGGGGGCCCAGCGTGCTCCTGGCGGACCCAGAAGTGGACGGGAAGTGCTTCTGGTCCACTTCTGGGTCTGCTGCCGAGCACACTGGGGAGCCCCCTGTGCTCCTGTGGGATACTCCATGTACTCCAGCATCACAGCATTCATGAGCCACCTGCTACCTAGAGGTATGCAGAAAAAACATTTAAAGCTGCGTCTATGTCTGAATCTCTGAATCTTTCCAAATCTTTCTGAATCAGTTCAGAGGGTTTTGATTTTGTTCGGAGAGAATAAAGGGTCCTCTGAGTCAGTTCGGATTCAGAGATTCTGCCACTGAATTGGGCCGAATCTCCATCAAATCTAATCAAGGACTGAAGCTTTGCACAGTCCTGCAAGCTATTTCCCACCCATCAACAATCTTCTTTGAACATTTGCTATCCTATGTTACACTTTCCTATACTTATCCATGACTTTTTGCCTCAGTATTACATAAGTTTGTAGGCACTCAATATTAACTGGTCTAAGACTGCTGAAAAACTGCAGCCCATGAATAGCATTCCACTCGCTGAGTGGCACTTATCTTGGGGAGATGACTATATCAGTGTGCTGGATATAGCTGGTGCTCATGCTTTCTTGCATGGATCAAGAAATATGGGAAAATATATATTCTTACATGGATTGAGTTCAAAACCAATCCATTGGGTAATGGAAAAAGATGGAAAAAGACAATAATCTGTCCATTAGAGCTGTGATTCTTGTTCTAGTATCTAGAGTAAGTGAAAGAACAGAGGTAATTGGAACGCTAAGAAAAATTAAAAGCAATAACTTACAAAATTTTGTGATCTTCCTGTCTGATGTTTATATCTGTGCATGTGTGTGTATGTAAGCTGCCTATAGATGTGCTGGTTTGCATTCTAATTAGAATGCATTGGAGAAGACTTGATTAATCATTGAATGAGCTTTAGTTAAAGTGCCCCCATGGCTATTTTAAAATGGGGATGTGGGTGGCTTAATACACATGATGGTGAGCCATTTTAATTAGAACAGCTGTCAGAGAACTGCTCTAGTTAAAACTGACCCTCATGCCTATACATGTGCACATGTATAGGCACTTTTTTATCTAAGAGCTTCAAGTTTATTTTTTAAAATATATATATCACAAAGGGGTCAATCTTAGTTTGGTAAGAGTTTTGGGTGTATGAGTAATTAAGAACTGGGCCTGAGTGCAAAGAAGATGTAAAATACTGAAGCTCTCAGTCAGCAGTGGAGGGATGTGTCTGGGTGCCCCAGGTAAAGTGAAAGTGGGAACTTTCAATTGCCACCAGAATTGCAAATGTGAATGCATGGCTGCCCACAACAAATACTCTTTTTCTACCCTCCCCAAGTTGGCATCTGGGGTAATTGTCCGTATTGCCCACTCCTATCCTCCAATTAGTTATGCCACTGCTCTCATTTTTCCTGAAGTTGATTTATATTACTTGGGCAGTGAAAAGTACCCATAAGTATGCTTAAATAATTACATGAATTCTACATTGTACCCTTTCAGGAAGTCTCAATGGGAATGAGACTCAAGACCCAAAATTCTGGTTTAAAAGTATTTTACATTCACGCTGCAGTGGTAAATAGCTAAAAGAAGTTCAGAGCAATGTTGAATTGGATGCTTGGCTTTCTTTCTTCAAAGGAGGTTAATTTTTAAATATATTTCTAAATATAAATATTCGCCTAAGAAAGAAACTGCCTCATATGCATAAGATTGCTTATTCACAATAAAAATTTGATTGGTCCCAATGGCATCCTATGTACAGTGTACATGTGTTTATTTTTACTTGAGAGTTTGTATCTTTTCCATAGGTAGATAAGGTTCTTTGGGTAAATCTTTAGACCAACATGGCCACAACCTACACCCCTATATCTTTTCCATCACATCAGTCCTTTAACACAGTCTCTCTGTATTTGTTTTTCATGGTATTCAAGTTTTCTTTCTACTTTTTCATCTCTGTTCTTTGTCTTTTCTTCTTATTTGATTTTCTTAGAGCAGTAATTCCCAACTGGGGTGCCTTGAGATCCTTTCCAGTGTGCTGCAGGGTGCCACACAGTGTTATGTTCACAAACATGATTGCAAGATAAATCCAAAAATTTGAAATAGAAATTTCAAATAGAAATTCATAGCTGTGGTCTTTCTGAATTCTTCACAACAAAAATATTACTCTATTATTATCTGTTGGCAAAAAAAGGATGATAACTAAGAAACGACATTTTCCAAGGGGTGCCTCAAGTCTATTCAGGGGTGCCCCAAGTCTCAAGAGCCATGGTAAAAGTAGAACATGAACCCAATACCACTGGAAATCAGGTAAAATATTATCTAGAAAGTTTCAGTTCAAGACCTCACCAATCCAAACATATTGGGTGACCCTTAAAAATAAGAATACTATTATCTCCCCTGTCTTTTGATAACTAGGCAAATTCAAAGGGGAAATTACTTAGGACTCCAGTAAATATCTCTGTTTTATCTCTGCTAAGAGTCCTTCTTTCTAAACTAAGGTCCAGAATTGTTCCATTGCTCACAGGAATAATGGGCTCAATCAGCCCTGTTTTTCAGTTCTAAGGCTAGAAGCTTTTTTCTTAACAACAGGAATAATACATAATCTGTCTGGGGTAAAATGTCATACTAGGTCGTCTTTGTTGTTTTTTGACCTAGCACTTGTGCATTTACCCCCTGGCTTAGCTTTGGGCCAAACCAAGCTAAATGGGGTAATGCAGCAAAAACCCAAAAAGTCATTATAGCTCTGTGCAAGCTTTCTGTGAAATACATGATGGTTGAAGGTTTGTATGTGACCCTAAAATATAAATCAATGTTACGCTGCTAGATTTACCTTGACAACAGAAAGCAAGCAGGCTATCATTATTCCGGCATTGAATATTTTTATTTTTGTAAATTATAAATATTACTTTTTCTCTCCACCTTCAGTCTTAAAAATGTGGTTTCACATTTCATTTAATGCTAAATGGTTCATTACATAGAGTAGCAACTTAGTTCTCTTATTATGGTGTTATCTTTCACTTTGTCAAAATATGTCTACTTGATAAGAAATCTGACAGAAGTTGCTTATGATGGGATCACTAACAGCCATCAGTTTCTCTCTAGCAAATGAAACTGTAACCATGGAAACGGCCTTTTTTTGCCAGAATGAAAATGAGACAGCACTCTGCTGCAGCCATTAGTAGAATACACAAATGTCCCTCAAGGCAAACATCTAAAGCAAATGGACTGCAAAGTAAGGAGCACTAATTTCTATTTATTTAGGATTTGTAAACCTAGCAGAGCAAGATATTAACAAAGGAACAAACAAAGAGAGATTAAAAAAAGACGTTTTTGTTTTTCTTTCCATTTACAAAACTCCTTGTTTTAAGTAAAAATACCTTATTCTGATTTTTAAGAATAAGCTTAAATAATATAATCAACACTACACTTAAATTACACTGGGATTTGAAAGTCCCTGTTCCACACAGAAAATGAAAATGTAGTTTAAATTTTAAGTAGTTTTTTTATTTTGGTTCTTGAGAATGTGCATTTTTGTGCAGACTGTCAAAAATAAGATATAAGGCATCCTTTTTCTTATACTTTAATTTTCAAAGAGCCCTGGTCATTTGGATAAGATACATAGATATTGATAATACATCTATTCTAAACATTATCAGCAATAAGCCAGAGGCTGTCAAAGCCCTTTCAAGTGTCATACTAGTCTCACTGTCCTGTTTTTTCACTACTACACCCATCTCATTACAGGCTACTTATTGAATGCATAGATTCTACTGTGAGACAAACATTAGGGGAGAAGTCTTAGCCATCCATGAAGTCACTGAATAAGCTATATCTTAACTTGTTTTTCTTTTCCCTCCAAACTTAAAAGCTTGGTTACTTTAGGAACTACAGTGTCTGTCTCCATTTTATTTCCAGTTCAATGAGTAAGCTAAAGATACAATTTTCCAGTAGGCTAATTAGTTTGTTAACCAAAACTATTTAGATAATTAGCTTGTAGCTAGATATGGGTTGTAATCATAATGCTAGTTACTTATATATACCTTGGGGTCCTTCAAATACCTGTTTGCCTATAAATATGACAAAGCGACATGCTGTGACAGCCCCTTTCAGAGAGCAGTTTCCTACAGTGTGATTAGAAATACCTACTGTTGTTCTCTGTGTGGGTCATAGTTAAGATACACTTGTGGCACTGCGTGAGAAAAGTTGTCTACTGCCTGCTTACTAGGTGTAGTCTTAAAAAATAAGGAACTAGTACCAATAAAAACGTTAGCTGCAAAGACATCTAAAGGAAGGTGTTTGAGCTTTTTGAGACCTTCCAGTATTTGACCCAATATTTGGGTTAGTTTTA